AAATCAAAAAACTTTCAAACTTTGCATATTCTCATGGACCATTTCTTGTAGTTTATACAGAAAATAATGAAGTTATTGAAGATGAGAATATTAAAAATAAAAGAAATAAAAGAGAAATATTTCATTCAAAAGGTGATAAATAAATAAATTAATTTAAAATAAAATTATAAATTAATTAAAATAGAAGACAATAATCTCCAAATCCAAGAACATATGGATGCAGTAAGAAGACAAGCAGAATATTTTGCTTATGGAATGGCTCTTCCAACGGAACAATTACCACAAATTGAGGAAAATAATTACTTAGTAAAACCTATTCAAAATATTCCAAATAAATTTGAAAATACTAAATTTGCATTAAGACGACGAAAATTGGTTGAGTGGAATTTTTAGAAAATTATTCTGTATTTTTAATATTTTAGAAGAATAGAAGAAAAATTAAACAAAAATTGTCTCGGAAATCGTCTTTTGATGCGAATGATCCAATGCTCGGATTTGGAACAAATAAATCACCTTGGGAACGTTCAATTAAAGGAAACAAATTCGGAAATTCTTTAAACGATTTTAAAGAGTTAGAAGAAAATGAAAGAGATGGGATGATGATGAATAAACACGAGAAGAATGATAAGGAAATTAATATGGGAATTAAAAGTAATGGTGCTGGTGGGAGTATAATAAAGGTGGGTGTTTTAACTTTTTTAAAAATTGTTATGATAATTGAGAATTCAAATGACTTTTAATTGAACAGTTACTTTCTGAACGAAGATAAACCCTTATCTTCTATGAGTCCCGAATTGTAGTATTACACAAATGTTACATCAGACTGAAAATTTGCCCGAAACTTAACCAAATGTTTCAAAAAAATTTAAAAATTAAATCAACTAGGCAAATCATTTTGACTAGGATAAATCCATTTATATGATTAAGGAATAAATTCACCATCACGCTATACTCTACATATATTACACATATATGTATACATATTAACTATTTAGCTTAATCCTAATTTACTGCAGTAATTAAACATTTAAAGAAATGTTCACGTCACAATCTCACAGTTGACATTAGAGATTTGGGCTTAGATGAACGAATTGTTGCCCCAAAAAGTTTTGAGGCTGGATATTGTGCTGGATCATGTGAATATCCTCTTGATAGAGTATTATTTTTAATTAAAATTTTAAAATTAAAATTTTTTGAAAATTTTTTAGAGCCTTCGGCCTTCGAATCACGCAATATTTCAATCTTTAATTGTTAAATTACAATCTATAACAAACAATAATATTACTACAGGACAAAATACACCCTCAGTTTGCTGTGCACCTGACAAATTTGATTCGTTAACAATGCTTTACTTTAACGAGAATGGAAATTTAGTTTTAAAAAATTTCCCAAGAATGATAGTTTTGCAATGTGGATGTATTTAAATTTTCATTTAAATTCAATTAATGTAAATTTATTTAAATACTGCCATACTACAAAACTTGAATTACAGAGATGATGAATTACAGAGATGGGAATTAAAGGTAATGGTGATGGTGGGAGTTGCACCAAAATTTACCAAGTCTTTCCCAAGTCTCGAATCGAGCAGAAAATCTTTTTTACACGTTTCACAAATAGAATGGCATGTTATTGTAATTCAAGTTTTGCAGTGAGATTCTTAACAAAAACCATTTCAGTTGCTAATTAATAAATTATCCATAGAGAATTTTTTTTCAATTTATAAGGTTTAAAATTAAGAATTATTTCGAAATATCCAGGAAATTAAAATAAACCATACATACTACTCCAAATTAATATTTATTTTGTCAAAAAATTATTTTAAAATAGGATTAAATCCATCAATCTGATTTAGGTAATATGAGCAAAAAATCAAAAGGAATTGTTTTAAATTCCCTAATTTAAACGGAAGGAAAAAAACAAAAATTCCATTTGTAAAATTTCATTATTTATTTTCCCTCTCTCCTCATCAACCTTTTTGTTTCTTTGCAATTTCTTGTACTTCTTCTTCTGTTCTGTTTTTACATTGGGTTGAAAGAAATTTACGAACAGATTTTGAAATAGCCCCATCAGCCTTTCTTGATTTTGAAAATATTTCTAAATGAGGCTTTCCTTTCCAAATAAGTCCGAATCTTTTAAAAAAGAATTAGAAATAAATTTAAAGAAAACAAAATTACCGGAAATTTGGGTCATTCCGTACAAGGAAAAGTTGAATTTTACAGAGGCAATCGTGGACCTAAATTAACAAAGAAATTCAACTTTGGGAGATTATACAAAAATCTTGCCTTGCTAAGAACGGCGTAAGGTAGAGGTTTCATCAATTTTGAAATGTCATTTAATCCCTAAAAGTTGTTAATTTTAAACAAAATATTCTCAAATGATTATATTTTCACATAAATAGCTGGTTTTGTGAAGTCTCCATTCCCTTTCCAAAATCCAATCATTTCCTGGTCGGCACAAGTAAAAAACATTTGTGCCCATGTAAAGAAAGGAAAACCACCTCCGTGTGGATAGGTTGTTAATAATTGTAATGGTAAATTATCAGGCACATTTCCAAAATTTATATAGCCAATAGCCTTAAATATTTAATTATTTCTAAATTGGAAATCTTTTTTTAAATGAAATTATTTAAATTTTGGATAGAAATACAAATTATTTTATCTCAAAATTTTCTGTTATTTCAAATTCAGGATAAATTGGATTAGCTATTTAATAACTGACTTTATTATCAGCAAACTCTGTTTTCTCAGGTAGCTGATCAGTATCTTCAAATATTTCACTAAAATATAAATCAAAAATTATATTAAAATCATCACTAGAAACCCACGCTTTAGCTCCAGCAAAATCAGCACATTCAACCTCATATCTAACTAGAATTTTAAGCGTTCCAAACTGATAACTAGTTAACTGAAAGAATGGCCCAGAACAATGTTTAGAACGAAATTTTGTCATTTTCGCTTTCATTGATTGATCATAGGTTAAATGACCAATCTTTTAAATATTCATTAATTAAAATTATTTAATAATTAATAACTTCCATCAAGTCTGAAGCTTCCATACGACTGAGTAAAACTGTTTTGCCAACACGTTCACAATCAATTCGAAATAGTCCGTCACCAGCCTCTTGGCCAAATGCAAAAAGTTTTTGAAGGTTAATTGCATCTAAATAGTATTTTTGGGAAAATATTTTTTTGAAAATTTTAATGAGTAATAAGTATTTGGAAATATAATATAATCTTAAGCTATGCAAGAAATCTATTAATTATCAAAAAACTTTTTTAATTATTATTTTATGGGAAAAATGAAAATAATTTTACAATTTTTGCTCAGTCGATGAAATTTTTGAACGGAAAATAGAATTTTTTGAAAACTAATCCTATTTTTTCCCGGTTTTAAACCTATTTTTCCATTTTTGTCATACATTTTTAGCAACTTATTTAGGTACCTATTTTAAGATTTTTACAGCCTATAAATCCAATCCCTAGTAGGCTTTCAAATGATATAAAATTCATTCGGGTTGTATCGAGCATAAAAAAGTTAAAGCCTAACAAATTCAGAAAAGGTGAAGAAAACGTAAATTCGGGGATACAAACGCTCAGTGCCGATTATAATTTAGAATATAATTTAGATTATTCCTACCTGTTATTATATCGTAATCATCAAAATTAATCTACAAAATAAATTTATCTAAATCAAATTAAAATCAAAATTACTTCAGTTTTCTTTTTATTATTAGCAGAACATAATTTTGCTGCTAATATAGCCGCATCCAATTGCCCATCTTTGACTTTCATATGATTAACGTTGTAAATAACTACACCGTGATCTTGGCGTAATTTACCTCCGGGCCAATAAAAAGATTCTAATGGCATCCCAGGAATCTAAAATTAATTGGAAATAGCCTTTAAATTAAATTTAAATATTTTTTGAATTTAAATATTATTTTTAAAAAACAAGGTAATTAAATACAAATTATTTTTCTTTAAATAAAAGTAACCCGCCAAAATGACGGGGTCATCCTCCTCGAGCCTCCATTGATAAGAGCCTATTCTTTCAACATTTTTAGTTGATGATGCTCCACTTTTCCCGCTTAAATTAACGAGTGGTAATAATCCATACGGCTCTTCATCTAATCCGTCGAAAAGCCAAAAACCTTCAACTTCATCATTTTGGTGGTTTTGAGCTGAAGCCATTTTCAGCTTTTACTTAAAAATAAATTAAAGTTTAAAATTTATTTTTAAATGCCTAAGTTAAAATATATATAAATTATAAAAATTTTAAAGTAAAAATTTGACAAATCCTCTCAATAAATAGTCAATATCACCAAATATTCATGGGATATCAAGCTATATTTCTTAAAGAATTGAGCTAAAATGTTTAAAATATACTAAGAACAGGCTGGATATATTGATCGATTTCTGTCGATTGGATCACTCTCCTTAGGCAATTCCCAATAATTGAAAGGAAGTTAAGTAACTTAAATTCAAGCATTTGTGTTTGTTGGATATTTTATTTTTAAACATTATAAAGGCTTTGGAAAAGATATATTTATAGGGAATTTATAGAAAATTAAAACAATTTACTAATGTTATTTTTACAGTTAGAGGATATTTGGTATAACTCAAACTCTAAATTTAAAAATAAGTTAAAACTAAATCAATCATTATTTCTTATCTTTATATTATCAATTAATTAAAAATATTATCCAAATATTTAATTATTTTCATTAATTTTATAAGCAAAATTAATTTTAAAGCAGAACATAAGGAATGATTTAATGAATCAATTATTAGAAAAGATTCTTTTATTCCAAATAACTGAGATAATTTTTTACATCTCTTCTTGACAGTTTGTCGAGCATTGGTTAAATCTAAATATGAAAAGTTAAAAAAAAGCTAAATATAAACATAAAAATCTGATCAATGAAAACATTTCGTCAAAAAAAGAAGTTATCGATATTCAACCCCAATATTTTTTCTACAAATTTGATTAAAGAATTTACCTCATTTATTTTGATTAGCATGGCCGCCAACTTGGAATCCTGCATTTGGACCTGCATTAGTCCACGGAGTTCCATCAGCTTGATGACCAGCATTTGGCCCTGCGTTTGACCAAGGTTGACCTCCGGCTTTATTTCCACCACCTCCTCCAGCAGCAGCTTTACCTCCTCCACCACCACCACCACTGCTTTTACTTCCGCCACCTCCACCTCCACTTCCCTTTCCTCCTCCGCCACTTCCGCCTTTACCTCCACCACCACCTCCACTACCGCCTCCTTTGCCCATTTTTGTCAAATAAATATTAATATGTAGCTAAATAAACTTAAATTAAATTTGTAATTAAATTATTGAATGAAAATTTTGAAAAATCTATTTCAAGCAGTAGATAAATTTAAACCAAAAAATATAAAGGGAAATAAAAAATAAAAATAAATGACAAAAATATTGGCGAAGGAAAATAAATATTAAAAAATATTATTCACACCGAACACAATTTTGTTTACAAAGAACTTCCAGTGCATTTCTGTTTACATTTATTTTGTTATTGTGAATAATAGTAAATAAATATCAAAAATGTATAAAAAATCTGGTGACCGATTAAAATAAAAATATTTTTTAAGCTTTAATAAAGTTGAATATTTTAGTTACAAAGAAATTTTTGTTTACAGCTTTCATCCATAACATTCACAAAAAATAATCGAAGAAACATATATCGTTTATCTTTGTGTATATCTGTATGTAAAAGTGCAAATTTGCCAAAACGAATAAAACGATCAAAAAATTGAAAGAAACGTTCGTAGGTGTAATTAACATTTAATTCCTTAAAAATTACTAATTATTTTTTTAAATTATAATTTAAATTTTAACATTTGGATGATGTATTTCCATATTTAATTGACATATTGGAATTGGGAAATATTTGGAATGTTCTGTAAAATTAAAGAAAAATATATTCTTTAGAAATGCCAAATACTTACCAACAAATTTTTCCAAAATTCCAAATTCAGCCCCTTCAACATCAATAAGCATTAAATCAACAGGTTCTGTTTTTTGATATTTTTTTCTTAAAAATTCGATTATTCCAATTTGCGGCACCATTCTACGGTTAACGCCCTTCTTTACAACATCTTATAATATTTAATTGCTTCACAAAAAATTTATCTTTTTACCTTTCTCCCAAACATTTATTAATGTTTTGTCTAAAGATTCCCCTCCAATTGCTGCTTCCAAAAATGTTCCGCCCAATTCTTTTTTAACCAAATCAGAATTAATATCAGAAGAAGGATCTACAGCATAAAATCGACATTCTGGATAAATTTTGCTTAAATTTCTTTCTGCCCAAATTGAATGTCCAACTCCTAAATAATTTATCGAAAATTAAATTTTTAAATTTTAGAGATTAGATTTAGTAATTCTTCTCATAAATTAGAATTAAAAAAATATAATTTAAATTTTGTATATTACAATTTAATTTAACCTAAAGTTATAACGTTGCATTGTAAAGGTCTTTTGATATTATTCGAAAATTTTATAAAATATTTTTGTTCTTCATCATCTGACTGTAATCTAAATATTTCCATTTTTTCAAATTCTTTGTTCCAGATTTCCTAATAAATTTTAAAATTAAATATTAAAATTTAAATTCAAATAAATACATTAAAATGTCTAGGAATTAATTCCCAAGTTGCCTTAACATTTATTTTTCCATTTATTTGTTTTATTATTGGCATCCCTTCTTTTTGTAAGGCTAAGGATTTTTTAAATAAAATATTTTGGGTAAAACATTCTTTTATTTTATTATTTTTTTGTTGTATTAATTTATTTAAATTTTTTTCGTGGATAACTTTCCACCAAGGTAAATCCAAAAAATAAGCATTTAAATTAATTAAAAAAGAACAAATAAAAATTGAAATAGGCAATAATATTATAATAATAAATTTAATTTGAGAAATATTAAATATTCTTGAAGAAATTAAAAACATTTTTATTTAAATTTATTTTTAAGTAAAATATTTTGAATATAAATATTGGAAAAATAATTAGTACAGATTTATAAAGATTGCGATTTTAGATTACAAAATTTATTAAAGATCAATTGAGGTCAAATAATTAATTATTTGTCCTTTTATTTAAAAATAAAAAATAGTACCTATTTATTTTACAAAATATAACAACAATTTTTATTAAAATTCAATTAATCTACTCTTGTTTTGTTAATTAGTGTTCGGTAATATCACGATACCTCTCGATATTATTGTGATATTTTCAGATTCTTTAATCTCATTCAATATCGACATAATATCGATATCGAATTTTGAAAACCCACATTTACCGAACACTAATCAGTATCAATATCTCAAAAAATTTTTTATTAATTTTTTACAATCTTTTCAATAATAATATTTTTCATCAGCAGAATACCTAACCAAATGTTCAATATAAGGAGTAGGTAATCTTCGGGCACAAAATTTTTTCTGATGTGTCCAATAATGGCATTTATAAATATCTCGTAAAATAGACAGTGAAGGGGAATTTCTTTTATTTTTTATTTCTTCATTATCTTCCTCAATTTTTTCGCTTAAAATATTTAAATAAAATTAAAATATTTCTTAAAAATAATTACACAAAAAATCCAATTTTGCGGGCAGCTTGTGGTCTTTCCTTTTTTCTTCTTCTAATGGCCATACTTTGCTTTAATTGACGCCAACTTTTTGGCTTTTCTTGCTTTGATATTATACTAATTTTTTGTGATGAAGTTACTAAACGAAATGATGTTGACATTTTTATAGATATCATTCTTTTTAATCTACTTCTAGCTGTTACAATGTCTGCATTATATGCCATAAATTCAAGAATTAGTACTTAATTTGTTAAAATATTAAAAAAACATTTTTTAAAGAATTTTACAATTAATACAAGCTGAAAATATTGCCAATCCAAAAAGTAAAAATATTAAAGTAAAAAGAACATATCCAGGTTCTTTCATTAATCTTTCATTGGTTTGGGCTGGGACAAAGTCTCCAAAACCAATTGTTGAGACTATATTAAATATACATATTTATTTATAATTAAACACTAACGACTAATCATGCAATAATATGCAGAATCAAAAATTGACCAACTTTCTTGCTTGTGAAATACCCCGGCTTAAATAAAATTATTTTGCCTAAATTAATTTTTTAAAATTAAAACTTGCAACTGCAATTGTAATACATCCAATAGAGAAAGAAACAAACAATAAATGTCTGGACTTTATTTGCCATTTACTTAACCATTTTTTGTTTTTAAATAAACATTTTTGTATTTGCACAAGCAAAGTTTTAATAATATGATTAATACGTTCACCAACCTTAAATTTGTGTAATAGTAAGGGAATTTAGAATTTTTTTATTTTATTTTTGGCACAAACAATAAATCAACTAATCCTAAATCTAGTTCGGGAAAACTGTATATGGTTAATAACGTCGATGTAGTAAAGGCACCGAGAAGGAATGCTTATTCCTTGATAATCTTCGGCTAAATCGTATTTGCAAGATCACGAGTGCGTAATTTTTCAAAAATTTTTGAGTGATTGTATCCCATGGAATTTTTAGGTTTATCTCGCACACGCAAATCCAAAAAATTCGAGTCGACTCCTAATATTATACATAACTTAATCTAAATAACAGCAATAAACTTAAATATATTTACCGATTGAAATGTAACCAATCCCAAGGGAATTCCACCCAATGCATAAACCATACAAAATAAACGACCGGCTCTTGTATTCGGAGTTGAATGTCCATAACCTATTGTTGATATCACTACTGTACAAAAATATAATGACCCTAGAAATTGCCATTGACGGCCAGCAGAAAAAGGAATTGACTGGACAACAATATTTTCTAATTGAGCATAATCCCTTATGGTACAATGTTTAAATTTAATGAATTTTTCTATTAATACTTTTTAGAAAATTTATATTTTTGTTGCATTAATCTTCTTTTTGCCGTTACTTCTTGTCTAGATCTTTCATCCTCTTCATATTCAAATAAACTAAATATTATAGCACCAGCTACTAAATAAAGAAAAGTAACTCCCATAAGTAATAATGAACGGCGAGTTTGGCCACTTTTTTTGTCAGAAAGGAGTGGAAACATTCTGGAGCTAATTGAAGATCTTGGTAAGAACATTAATAGGTAATTTAATAAATAATTAGGGACCACCGAAATATGGTTCGACAAGAAAGGAATTTTTAAAAATTAATATGTATTTTTTTATTTGCTGTCAACCAAATGTCAAGCATTTATTCTTTTTTTCCTATTTTACCGGAAAACAAACAAAATGTAAAATAAGTAACTGCTAATTTTATGAAATTTAAAAAAAATAGAAAAGAAGTTTAAATAAATAAATTTGGGCACAGAAATGTTTAAAAACATTTTAAAGATATTTTTTAGTTAAAAATATTTTATTTGGAATGCTAAATTGGTGTTTGGTTTAAATAAATAACGGGAGTCTATTACTAATTTTATTGAGGAGCGGCCAACCATTTTGGGGCTTTGGCATATACCAATAAAAAAGGCATTAAAGGAAAAGGCAAAAAAAGAGTCCCACTACTAAAATGGATGAAGCTAATGTCCAAAATAAATTAAGTATGCAAAAATAGTAGAGAAAGGAAATTTAAATTTAGTTTAAATTTTACAATAAAAAACAATAATTTTTTAAACAATTTTATTTTAATAATACAAAAAGTTCATTCACTGACTTCAAATAGGTTAATATTTTTTGATCCTATTTATCTATTAATTAATTATTTTTTTAGTTTATTTAATATTTAATAATTACCTTTAAATTTTTATTAAATATTTATTTTCTTGTTTTCCTTTAACTGAAACTTCCCAAGTTCCTCTTTTACTAATTATTTATTTATTTTTTGGATTAATTACTACACAACTAAATATACCTAATTTGTTTTTTCCTCTTCCAATTTTCTTCGTATTTCTTTTTTACCTCACATACATTTAAAGAAAAACTGCTTCCTTTCAACCTAATAACAATGTACTGGACTCGATTAGATCTTTTATTTTAATTCCTTTATTGTTTATTTATTTTTTTAAAAAGAGTTGAGCGACAACTTTTTTGACACGATGGGTGGGAAAACAAAAAAATAATAATATTTGTTAAATAATTTCAAAAAAATTGGATTTAAATTTTAACAGGAATATGATTGGATAAATGAAAAAATATGTATATGTATATGCTTATTAAAAGTATTGTTAAATTACCTACATATCTAATTAATTTTTAAATTATTATTTTAAATTATTTCGAGAAATTCTTTCAACTCTTTCTTGGAAAATTTATGCCCCTTTAAATTAAAAATAAATTTACTACATAATCCCTTGGGTATCTTTACCCTATGATAATTCTTTCAGAAAAGGAGTAACAGAAAAAATAACAGAAATACATATATTTGATTTATGTATAACTATTTAATAAAAAATAAATAATAAATTTTCCTATTTAATTGCAATATATACTTTATCGTGTTATAAATATGATTCCCTTTTGGATTAAAAGGGAAATAACCTGATCATCAAAAATTTTTCTGTTTATCTCTTACCATGCAACAATGATTTAGGCAAATAAATATTTTTTATAATTTATTTTTCTTTACCTTTTCAACACTTTTTTTGTTTTGTTTTTTATTTTCATTATTCGTTTATGAAACCCTCCTCTTTTTATTTTTAATGGGTGTCCGGCTCCATAAAAGCCGTCAAACAAGCGAACAGATACCAATCGCTTTTGCACTGCTTGCGGGCCTTCCCTCATTCCTTTTTTTCCAATTTCCTCCTCATATTTGTAAATACATAAAGCAATATAGCTAACTAGTCATTTAACAGGTATTTAAACTTTTTTTGTATTAAATTCTTTAATATATAAGCTTTAGACTTTTATTTTTCAAATGAAGGACAATTCTTCCTTTATTTCATCATTAATTCCTCTTTTTAATAATTGCTCTACTTAATAATATATGTATTTATATTTAGTTATTTTTTAATAATTTTGATTAAAATTGGTCTTATCATTTTAATAGTAATTCCTTATCTGATAAATCTATCGATTAAAAGCATCCCTACAAGGCTTGCCGCCCGAAACCCGATACCCGAAAAGAAAATTTTCAAACCCGAAACCCGTACCTGATGTCTTTGCCAACTCGAAGCCCTTGACACGAAATGAAAACGCTTTAACCCGAAACCCGTACCTGAAGATTTTTTGTACCCGCGGCAACACTGATCCCTACTATAGTCCTCATTTATTTCTTCAACAAAGTAGAAATGTTATTTTTAGGAAAAGTATTTTTCGAATTTATCTCAAAAGATATTCGGAATTTTCTCTCATTTGTCAAAAAATTTCTATTAGCTTTTTATTTAAAATTCCAATAATTTATTAATCAAATCTTAGCTTTTCATCCATTATTGTTTCTTTCTGTTTAATCGCTTATTTATTTAAATACTCAATCGCCCATTATGAACGCCCAAAAATATGCATATTATTTTTCTTTCATTTTCGATTAAAACCGGAGAAAGATAAACATTGCTAATAAAAATAATAAAAAGATATTTGGGAAAGATTTGAAAATTAATAAAGGAAAATATTAAAAAATTTTAGAGATATTTATTTAAGCAGTTTTAATTAAAAATTAATTTTATTTAAAAAAATATTATAAATTTTATTTAAAATAAGTTTTAGTTGAATTTATTAATAATTTTTTATAATCAATAAAAATTTTACGAACATTATTTTCAATTTTATCTATACCATTACTTCCATTGTCATACAGTTAATTAATTAAAAAATCTCCTTGCAGAACTGTTAAATAAAATAATAGTACAATATTTAGTATTATAGAGATGAGTTAACTGACAGATACTATATAGCATTTTAATCAAAATCTATTTAATATATCCATTTAAAATAAAAATGATTTTAGATTATGGATATTGATCCGGTAGAGTATAAGGAACGTCAAAAGGAGGCTGACATTCTAAGGCAGGTTGCCTTTCTTGGTGTGGTAAGTCCTAATTTTTTAATTAATGTAAATTCGGGGTGTGACATTTATGTCCTACATTTGCAGCCTAAGGATAGAATAATATTAAATTCCGAAATAATTCTATTTAATGTTACCCTCTCAAAAATACGTTTTAGGACTTTAAATATCCATTTATTAATCCTAATTTATTTTAATAAATAATAAAATTAAAATTAGTCGGCAGCAATAATAGCAACATTATTTTCAATTTTATCTATACCATTACTTTATAATTATCTTCAACAAATTCATTCACAAATGCAGCATGAAGTAGAATTTTGTAAACAAAGGACAGGCAATATTTGGAAAGAGGTTGGAAGAGCACAAGTAATAGCTGGAGTAGATGACAATACAGCATTTTTCTTGGAAAGGATACCAAGACAGGCTGGATATGATGTAAAAATAACTTTGAAGACATTTATTTGATGATGTATTAATTCCAGATTCCCCCTCCAGGGGCAACTGTTGGCCCTTCAGCTGCTACACCAGGCTCTATCCAGGGTCATCAAGCCGCATCAGCAGCACCGTTACCAGCCGCCCCATCAAGTGGTGCCCCAAAAATACCAGCCTCTACATTAACTGCTTCTACATCAAGATATGCTTCACCATCCTCTGCTGCTCCAGCTTCTTCTGGCCCTTCGTCCGCAGTACCATCTTCTTCCGGCTATCAAAGACAAGGAACATTCGGAGCTGGAGGAGGTGCTCCAGCTGGTGCTGGACCTTCAAGTCAAGGTACTGGAGCTGTTCCAACTTCTAGTCCTGTTGCTACTCCAGGAGCTGGTCCAACTACTGTTACTCCAGGAGCTGGTCCAACTTATGCTACGCCAGGAGCTGGTCCAACTACCGCCACTCCAGGAGGCAGTCCAACTTATGCTACTCCAGGAGCTGGTCCAACTACCGCCACTCCAGGAGGCAGTCCAACTTATGCTACACCGGGAGCTGGCCCAACTTATGCTACAGGCACAACTCCAACAGCAGGTGCAGGAACTATCCCAGCGCAAGGCTCCAGTCCAGGCGGGGGCCGAGGAACTGGAGCAGGATCAGCAACTGGCCCGGGACCAACTTCAGGTCCCGGACAAGGCGCAGCCAAGCCAGGACCAGGTTGATTTTAATTGATACATAAATTATTCTTCAATACAATATAGTTGGAACAGGTGCGGGAACTGCTGGAGCAAGACCTGGCGCACTGCCTTCAACACGTCAACCAGTGTCACCTGTAAGAGGCGGTGGACGCTCGGGTGGTGGAGGAGGAGGATGTTGTGGTTGTGGCGAGAGTCCACCTGGCCCTCCTGGTCCTCCTGGAACGCCTGGAAATGATGGAGCTGTGAGTTTATTCTTTTTTGTATATTTTCTTAAATCGGTTAATTTTAAAGCCAGGAGAACAAGGTCAACCAGGCAAAAATGGACCTGATGGTACTTTGAAATTAATATAATATTAAAATTTATATATACATTACATCCATAAATTAATATCTGTTTAGCGCCTCCTCCGGCTCCTGCACCTCAAGTCGAATTGTAAATATTTTGTTTTGTCATATTCTAATATTAATATATACTTATATTTTAATTTAAAATTAGCTGTCAAAACTGTCCTCCTGGTACAGCTGGACCGCCAGGACCACCAGGACCAAAGGGTCCAGCAGGTTCAGTTTTTCTTATATTAATTGATATTTTTTACTAATCAATTATTCAAATTATTCCATGTTTTTATTTATACTAGTTTATATAAAATTTATTTGATTAGGTGCTGCTGGAGCAGCTGGTAAAGATGCAGATGGTGGGATTCGTGGTAATCCTGGACCGCCAGGACCTCCCGGCCCTCCTGGATCACCTGGCTCTACTGGAGATGCCGGAACTCCTGGGCAGCCTGGAACACTTAGTTTGTTAAATTATTATTCAGTTGTAAATAGAGGACTGTTTCAGAAGAAGTACCTGGCAAACCCGGACCTCCTGGTCCACCAGGAGCCCCTGGCCCCGCAGGAACTGATGGACAACCAGGCAATCCTGGCAAAAATGGTTTGAAATTAAATACCTATCTAATCTTTCAAATATTAAAGGAACTGATGGAAAGGAAGGGCCACCTGGAGAGACAGGACCGCCTGGCTCACCAGGAAAGCCTGGTAGTGACGGTGAAGCTGGTCCTCAAGGAAGCCAAGGCTCTGGGTTTGTATACATAAAAGATCTAATTAATTGTTGTTTTTATTCTTTAAATTTAAATAATTTTTCAGTGGAAGTTGTGACCATTGCCCACCTCCAAGAACTGCTCCTGGCTATTAAAAAATATAAATTTATTTGGAATTTTTGTAGACAAAGTTAATAAATGAAAATTTAATTTTTAATATAGTTCCATATATTTCTTTGATTATATTGTCATTTTGATGAACTCGATTTGATATTTAATGAATATTTACATTAGTATTTAGTCATATCTATAAAATTGACAAACATAAATATTTTTTATTAATTTTCAAAATATAATTTGTTGGTTAATAATTCCTTTAAATAACTAAAAATACAAAAAATACATATATATAATTCAATTTTCTAATTATTTCCTCTATTTTCAATCTTTGCAACTTCATTTTCCCCATTAATTTCAATATTTCCATTCTCCGCCAACATTGGTTGATCACTCTCTTTTTGGATGGGATTTGAATTATTAGTTGTATTACAAGTAAATATTGCTGCTTTTCCTGAGCCAATTAAACAAAAAATTCCATTACAGAGGAATAACAAAACTGCATGCCCAATAAAAATTCGTGCCCATTCACTTGGTAATGAGACGTTTGGTGTTAATAAATAAACAATTGGGGGAACAAGAAGCATGGCAATACACATTATTATCTAAAATAATTAATTTATTTTTTCTTGTAATTAACCCCCACTCCAAAGCATTTTAATAATTTTCTAAAAATTATTTACTTGTATTTTTGCACAAATAAAATAAGCATATTGCCTTCCAACTAAAGTCGAAGATTTAAAAAATCCCCCAGTATTAAACCCCAACATAGCAACAGAAAGAATAATAAATGAGAGAACAATCCAAAAAGACAAATGTTGGGTAAAGGATAATGCCAAAAGGAAAATAGCCATTCCACTATTTTAATTTAAATTTATTATTTTTAAAAATAATTTTTACCAAAAAGCTATAGAATTGAAGATTTTAACCTTAATTTAGAAAAAATTTTAATTAATTTAAAATTAAATATTTACACCTTTAATGTTTCATCTATTGATATTTTATCACTCAAAATTCCAGCAAATATTTTTACACAAAGCTGTAGTAATGTTGGAAATGCTGCTGCAAAGCCTGTACTTAAAGTTGCATATTTAAGAACCTTAAAAATATTATAATTTTTGTAAAATTAAATATAAACTTCGCGGATATATATTGGTGAAGACATTATCTATATATAAATATTCTTTTTAAATTAATTAATTAATTACCATCATTTGTATTGAAAACCTTTATAAATTAAAAAATAAATTTAAAAATATAATTAAAAATTAACATATTTCCAATTGCAGCAACACAAATGGCCCAAACAGCTTTATTAGTACAGATTGATTTGAATGGAAACTATAAATGAATATTATTTTATGTTATAAATCCTAATAATTACTACTTTAGAATTGTGTTTGTAACGTCCATCAATAACTGTTGATTTTCCTTCAGTTATTATTCTCAATTCTACATCATTTATTAATTGATGTTCAATAGCTGTATCTCTAATTTTTAAAAATAAAATATTTTCCTTAATTTTAATTTCTAACCTATAAAATATCCACCAAAGACTAATTAATCCCAAAGTAATCAAAGCATGAGCATAAAAAGCAAATTGCCAACCAAATATTTTAGCACTACAAAGAGCCCCAGATAAAGGCATTGTAATTACTGGAGCTAACTTTTAAATTATTTTAAATAAATAATTTAAATAAAAATATATGTGCCTGTATAAAGCTAGTTAACATTCCATTAAAAAGACCATTTTCAATAAGGCTAGCCCATTCAGCAGTTACAGCGCTTAAATATTTAATAAGTAAGTGCATTATAGAATTACCCAATAACAGGAAAACAAACAGCAAATCCAACTCCCTGAATTAATCTTGCAATTAAAAATGGAATAAATCCTTGAGAAGCAGCACATGGACATATTGCTGTGCTTATTGCAGAAATAAGTCCAACAATTGTAAATATTTTACTTAAAATATTTAAATTATATTTTAATTTTTAAATATTTAAAACCGGCATCCACATCGTTTAATTCCAACACCAATTCCGGGAATTGCGAGAAGGGCCCCTAAAGCAATAATTCCAAGAAGTAAAGATTTTTGTGTTGAAGTATAATAATGATCGGCATATTTTTCGATTATTTTCACTCTACCATTTATAACACCATCCCATGTAATGTTATTCAATTCTATATGCTAAATTGAAATTTTATTTTGTAGTATATAGAAGATAAACAGAATTTTTAAGGGCAAAGTTATCCAAATATTCTAAATAATATTTAAGAGAGAAAAACAAATTAAATTCGAGCTTTAGATCAAGGCAAATGAACAAAATGAAACCATTTTCTAATCCCTAACTAAATTCAATTATTAACATCTATAATGTGACAAATAAATAATTTATAAAAATTAAAAAAAATATACCCCGTAAATTCTCCAATAGAAGCACACCCTCTAATATAAGCACCCTACAGGAGGGGATGATCTATTAGAGAATTTATAGAGCTATTAGAGATCTATTAAAGCTTCTATTAGAGAATTTACGTTATTTTTAATTTTATTTAATTGCTGGTAAGATTTTTTTTACTCCTCAAGGACCAAAATAGCTTGTTCAAAATTAGCTCTATCTCGATAATTTTTTATAATTTTTATAATATTTTTATACTCGAATAAACTATCATTATTATTTGTGATGCTCGAAAAGAAATAGCGTTGTTTTTCTTTCGTTCTCTACCCATATTTTGACCCCATCTAATTATTCCCTTTCCTTATTTATTGTAAACCCTATTTTCCCTCCCACTAGTTTGTTGTGGTTGTTGTTCGTTCTTAGTTAAAATTGTTAGTTTATTTAAAAAGAGAAGTAAATTTGTTTATTTTGTGGTTAATTAATTTGAAAAGAAAAGAGATAAAGAGAGAGAGTCCAAATTTTATTCGATATTACTTGGCGCTCCTGAGAGTTTTTATTTTTATTTACTACGTGGCGCTCCTGAGGCAGAGGTTGTTCTTTGTGTGGTGAAAAAGAATTTATTTACGAATTGACTTTTTATTATTGATCTTCGTTGGCCCCCGGTGGACCAGGAATTTAATCTTTTGCAACAACAATATTTTTAGAAAAGTTATTCCTCGGTGGGATAGTTTTCGTATTGACAACTTTTTTGAGATTTTTTTTCAAAAAAAATCTTATTCAGTTTTCCCTCGGCGGGTTGATTGAATTTTCTGCGTATCAAATTTTAGCCTCGGTGGATAAAATTTGAATTTGGCTTGGAAAACAGCAAAAGAATGAAAAATACACCTCAAAATATGAATCAATATTTTCTTCACCATCAAACTCAAATGAATATTCCCATTAATACGCAATTAGGACATCCTAACAATCAATTCTACGGTTTCCCAACTTTGTTTTACCATCCAAATTATGCCTGTCCTCAACAAATGATATACCATCCTTCCACTTTCATTCCACAACAATCGATTCATCCGACTGAACAAAATTCTAATTTTCTTTCCGAAACTACGTCACAAGCTGACATGGAAAAATTACTTTTGGAGACGATTCCCGATTTAGATGGAACCGAAGGAAATTTTGCGATAAAGAAATTTTTCAAAAAATTCGATGCATATCTAGAAGACTGGCCAGAGAAAAAGAAGATTTTTGCTCTAAAATCCAAGTTGTATGGCAAGGCAAAGAGTTTCTTCATTCTTGCAATCAAGGCCAAGCACTACAACTATAAATCGATTAAGAATTTCATCCTTTGTCAGCTCCTTCCATCTGAGTACAAAGTCGAGGAGTCAATCGAATTAGTTAAAAAGCGAACCAATTCCCCTCAACAAAAGAAAAATTTGAAAGGTCATGAGAATAATTTCAAACCTCAAAATATTCCCACGCCATCTTTCAAAAATAAGGTCAACATTCAATTTGAAAAAGAAGAATTTTCACAAGAAATTTTGGAATTTTTTGAAATGCCAATCAACCAAGATTCGGCCAAAAACGTAAGCAAATTGGAAAATTCAGAAGAAAAATTTTTGAAAAATTTGGAACCAATTGTTGAAAATGATTTACTGGTGGAAAAAGATTTGGATGTTGAGTTAGTGGAAGATTTTGAAAAAGAACAATTTTGTGAATTGGATAAAGAACTTGTATGTCCCTTAGATGGAAAACAAGAATTGGCATCTGTTGAAGTTCCTATTCCAGCAGAATGCTGTGTCTTTCATGAAATCTCTTCTGAGGATATTCCTATTTCTCGTGAAGGAATTAAGAAAGAAATTGTATGTTCTGAAAATGAAGAATGTTTTGATTTGGAAAAAGTGGAAGAATTTGTTGATTTGGAAGAAAAAGGAAGCGAAGATTGTTTTGATTTGGAAGAGAAAGAAATTGAAAAGTGTGTTGATTTGGAAGAATTAGGTGAAAAGGATTTTGTTTTGGAAGAAATTTTGGAAGAAAATAGTGATGGAAAAGAAATTTTGGAATCGAAATTGGATGTGTTTGAGAAGGATCCTGAAAAGGAAATCCAACCAACACGAGACAAATTGGATGTTTTGAAAGAAAATGACAATATTGTTAAGGAAAGAAGGAATTTGTTAAGGTCCAAATTAAGTAATGCAAAAATTTTGGCAAAACTAAGATGTGAGATTCTAAGGAAAGAAATTTTAAGGAATGATTTTGGAAATGATTTTGGTTTTGGAATTTTGAAAAGAAAAATCACGGGACGATTTTTTCACGGAGTTCGGGGGTGTTTGAACTCGAAAAAATTGATCACGCTGATCAGAGTCCCCAAGCTTTCAAAGAATTTTAAGAAGGAAATGGACTACCAATTGCAAGATTTAGAACCAATGAAAGTCTTGAAATTTGTTTCGGTGACAAAACAAGATGTAATTCATGAACCAAAAGGTGATGGAATTGAAAAAGATTGGAAGAAAAGAGAGAAGTCAAAAGAAATCGGACTGGTAGAATCGGTTTCGGTGACCGAAATTCTCACCATTGGAGTCCTATTGGAAAAATTTCATCGAAGATCGGGTTTAGTAAATCGAGTCGGCCTCGAGAACCCTATGATCAACTTTGACACTGAAACATCCAAGAGCAACAAAAGAACTACCTCACCACCCAAGACCTTTCGCGGAAACAGGCCGAGATGGAAGAACTTTTTCTGACGTCGAGGACGCCGTCATCTGAAGTGAGCGGGATGTGATGCTAAAAGGAAATAGCGTTGTTTTTCTTTCGTTCTCTACCCATATTTTGACCCCATCTAATTATTCCCTTTCCTTATTTATTGTAAACCCTATTTTCCCTCCCACTAGTTTGTTGTGGTTGTTGTTCGTTCTTAGTTAAAATTGTTAGTTTATTTAAAAAGAGAAGTAAATTTGTTTATTTTGTGGTTAATTAATTTGAAAAGAAAAGAGATAAAGAGAGAGAGTCCAAATTTTATTCGATATTACTTGGCGCTCCTGAGAGTTTTTATTTTTATTTACTACGTATTACCTCGGGTCTGACGTTTCTCCATTCACTTATGTTATCAAATTGCCCTTCTAATTGAGAATTTACTTCAATACTCTTTTCAAATTTCTGTAGTAAATATTCTTTTAGTTTTAGCATAAAACCTTCATCAAAATTTGTGAAATTAAAACCTAAAATTTAAAAAATACCTAGGTGAACTCTTTTCAAATTTTTGTTGTAATTTAGAACTTTTCTTATACATATAAATATTTCTATTTAGAAATAAAAACATTCTACATAATTATGAGAGTGTTTTAAATTTACCACAATATTTTTCACTTAAATTTAAAATTTCTCACAATTTTTATATTTAATTAATTTAAAATAAATCCAAAATTACCATTAAAATCAATATTTTTTGGATCCAATTTCTCTCCAACTTTTTTAACTGCCATTTCTCCAATTTCCATAGCTACCATTTTTAGTAATCGGAAAAATAATTGAGGGTTATGTATAGCTAATTTAGAAGAACTTTTTCTTAGCCAGCTAGTTGAATCTAAAGAGGGTAATTCTATGCCTAGTGATGGGAGATTATTAAAGCCATCAGTTGGTTTTGAAATTGATATAGAACTAGTAGATGATTTACTAGATGAATGTTTTTCTTCAAAAGCAGATTCAAAATTAATATTTTCAAAAACATCTTAAATTAAAAAATTTTTTTTAATTAAATTATTTTCTCAAAAATTTCAATAATTCTATTACCAATTCCAACATCAATTGTAAAATTTTTCCAATGAAATTTTTCCTCTGTCATACATAAAATTGTAAAATTTAAACAAAGAATATTTCCCAACATCATTGAAAGACTTAATAAAGATATTATTAAAATAATATATCGGAAACGGCCATTAAATATTTGTTGGACAGACATTTTTTTAATTAAAAATAATTAATTTCTAAGTAATATATTTTACAAATTAATTACTAAATTGATTAGTTGATTAAAGGAGAAGAAATTAAAATGAAAATAGTGATATAGAATTTAATAAAGAATTTAATTTTTTGTATAAAAAATACGCGTATTTATTTGAAGGTCATTTTTTCTTTATTTTTTTTTGTAAAAAAATATTTTAAAAAATAAATTATTTTATTTTTAATTATATTAAAATATTTTTGTTTTATTTAGGATTATTTTTAAAAATAATTTAATCTCTAATCTCGTTA